CGGAGTCCTGGACGGAACTGATCACAATGGCCGGTCAGATCGGACACGATCGCGATCTACGGACGCCTAGGCCCCCAATGGGCCCACCGATCGTCAATTCCTGACCCTCGGGTCGTTCCAGAGACTTAAATTGCCCGGGGACAGACTTTTCACCGTTCCTCTATTATTTACAGACAATACAGCAGTGGAAATTGTACGACTTACTCTTCTAAGGTGGCTCTAGTTGCTGATGATTATAGTACTGACAAGATTTGAAATTTTTGGATCAGAAAACACTGCATCAATTTTAGACCAAGTTCTATTTAATTCTGTTTCGTCTTCCGGGTACTTACCAACCCCCCAATCCACGTCTTTATTTCTCAACACATTACCTATTATAATTTTTGAGAATCTACAATTTACAGTTAAGAAATTTTTAATGAATTATTCAATGATTGAATAATGAATTATTCAATAGCAATTTTAGTCGTGTATCGACAATTGATCTCCAGTAACGTAGGCTAATCATTCCGTTAGGATTATCATATAGAAAAATAATTTTATGGTTCCTCTTAGGATAACACAATATGTAATTGAAAATCCTATCAATAGCCTCCCGGCGAATCAAGTGTTGAATATTATCGTCATTGTGTAGTTATTTGCTGACCAATCGTTAATTATGCTCGTTCATACAAAAATGGTTCTAAAGAACAGCGTGGGAGAATTGTTCCTAGGGATCGTTCATATTGGAGCTTCGATAAAAGCTAATAAGAGCTAATAAGAATAAATGAACTGCCGCCATAAAACAATATTCTTCTTATTATGGTGCTGACTATGCGGTTCAGCCGAAGAGATCTGCAGCAGAGTCAAACATTGTATGTACTTATTTCGAAAGTTTTACCATTTTACCTAAACGATTGCTTATTATTTTGCAAATAAATGCGTTCGAGTTTCTGGCGGATGATTTAAGGAAAACATTTCGAATGCAATGGGTTGAATTTTCAGATTTGCTCCTTGGGCTCAGCTTTCGAGGGTCCGCAATATGCTGACCGATCGGTTCGGGGCATTCGGGGCACCGGTCATTTCGCGTTCTCTCCCTTGTGCCTCTTCGGCGAGCTTCGGCGATGTCTTATCAGGTCGTATCTTGTATAAACACGTTCCACCTGGTCTCAGACCGTCACGACCCACGCCATTTTCTACTGTCGCTGCCCACGTTGTTTCGTAACTTTCCACGAGACCACTTTATCATGCGCTCCACCGGACCCCTCTCCCTCTCTCTCCCTCTCTCTCTCGCTCTCCTTCTCGCGTTGCTCGTTGTTCCCGAGCATCGATAGCCGTAGAATCGCGTGATTGATTGTCCGCGCGTCCCCCCGAGCGGAATATACCGGCCTAATGGCGTTAATGATTTACTGATCGATGCACTGCGCGGCCAACAAGGAAAACTCGAGTCGCGATTAATCAGCCAGGTTGATTTTGAGCGGCTGTCTTGCCGGGCTGAATTTTTACCCGCGATTGTGCCTGAGCGGATACAAAGGTCGAATGAGGTTTGACCTGCAGAGGTCGAGAAGAGAATGATGAAGGGAATCGGTGGTGTTTGGAGATAAGGAACAGGTCCTCGAAGTGATTAGTAGAATCTTTAAGCGCGATTCTTTGTGCTTCGCCTAAAATACAAACATTTTTGCGTGTGAAAAAAAGGAATAGAAATCGGTCTCTAGAGCTAATGAAAAGGTCCTTCATGTGATTAGCTGGACGTTTAAGAACGACACCTTGTATTTATCTTGTGCAGGAAATTTTTGTCAGCGGCTATACCTAGTGGATACGAAGGTGTTAGGGTCTGATGGTTAGCAGGTCCTTTAAGGACAACACTTTCCTTTCATCTGCACAGAATAGTTTTTCCAGCTATTGATTCCAGCAGATCTTAGAATCTAATCAATTTGGTACGCGCGGGTGGTGAAAAACGAAAAGATGGACACCGTCTTGAGCTAGAGCAGAGCTGCTGCAGTTAATCGTGAGGACTGGATTCGAAACAGGATTCGAGAAGGATCTGTCGCATTTATTCGAGGGAATTTTTGCCAGCGGCTATACATATACATATGTAGTGGACAGAAGGACCGGGCGAATTTAGTGCGAGAAAAAACGAGCGAATAAAAATGCGAGAGGGAGTAATCGGTGGCTGGAGCTAGAGAAGAGGTCCGCCAGATGATTAGCAGGACTTTTAAGGACGATCGAATTACTTGGAGCGCGGAATTCCCCGTACGGGACGATTTGTAGCAGTAATCCGGGCTTACGGTTCCCGGTGCCTGGATGCGCTTTAATATGATTTAAACCTACCACCGTGTTGGCTACCGTGTTACGATCGCCGGGGCCTCTTACCGGCTCTTTACAACACGGACCTTCCAGAGAGGCGAGTCCTTGAGGAGGAGAGGCCCTGAGGAGGAGCGGAGTCGGCGATGAAGCGAGACAGCGACACACGCACGGCGTGCGTACACGCAAGAAAGTGGCGTAAAATACGTAGGCGAGGTACCGGTTTTTTTCCGGGACCCACTACTGTTCTCCTCTTTGAATTTTAAATCTGCCCCGGCTACCGAAAGCAATTAAGCCGCATTCACCCGGGCGACAGCAAAAAAATCTGCGCGCGACAAGATTAAATTGCATCGAGCCCCGGCGAACTTGTGGGTGCCTTCAACACTTAGCCATATAATTATCCGTCGATCGCCGCTCTCGCGCCGAATTCTCATCTGCTTTCGAATCACCCGGTACAAGCGCCACGATCCAGAAGAACGTCGTGCAAAAATCCTGCGGAGATCGCCGCAGAACTTTTCAGAATGCTCGGAGCCCTTGATCCATTTCGTCACGGAAAGGAAAACACGTTTATCTCCGCACATGTTTGCGCTTTGCAAATTCAGCCGTGCTCATGTGCTGCAACGACGAATATGTGATACAGCGCACCTCGAGCACTGGAAAGCCCTTTGTTTCCCTCTGTGTCTTTGGCCTTTTGTCCTCTTCCAAACTGCTTCTTCTTCTTCTTCGTCGTCGTCGTCGTCGTTCAGCCAGCGACAAGCGCGATCGCTTTGAAGTAGCCGCCGTGGAAAGGTGCGCGGGGCGACAGAACCACGAGGTACTTCGCTGCGGCAAACGCGACAAGGCCCCGGCAATTATAACGGGTGGCAGAAAAAAACGGCGCCCGTGTAACTCCTTTCTTCGACGACGCGCGCCGAACGCGGACGACGTGCGTTGCCAATTGAATTCAAACTAATTCGAATGCAATCTCATTGTTGCTACCGTTTGAAAGTGGAGGCCCTTGAAGCTGGTCAGTGGGGATCCAATTTTTGTTTCCAATATGGAAGAATGTACATTGTCAGAAACTTCAGTTCATAAGGCGATATTTTGTTCGTTTACTGTCCTCTTCTGCTAGACACCGATAGGCTCTTGAGACCGTGAATAGTGTGTAGACTGCAGATTTGCTTTATGCAAATTTAATTTTTCATAGCCCATTTCGTATACATTGAAAGCAAAAAGAGACTGATCCGGTCAACTAGACAGATTAAAAGATCTAGTCTGAAGTGAATAACTTCGATGACCATCAATCACCTTTGCACTCCTTTTTCAAAAATTAGGCCATAATTATTCAGCCATTTTTGCTTCCAGCACCATCAGGTCATTCTTCTTTTTTATTTACATAACTAAGTCACTTAAATTAGTTTTCTATATATCTAATTATTTTTAAAAAGCGAAATTGAATCAAGTTCATCGACTCCAGAAAAAATTTTTTTGAAACCGATTTCCATTAATAATTTTCTCACACTCTTTTAAAACATAAATTCGTCTTTAACAAATCGAAAATTTGACTAGCTCAAAAGATAGATAAGTTCGAGAAAGTAAAATGCGAATATACGAAGAAGCTGATGTCGTAGGGTGGAAAGCTTAAAGCGAGAAGAATTCGTAATATGTATATCACATCGAATCAGTAAGATATGTTAAAAAATAATCCAAGTTTCTAACCGAAATAATATTTCAATAATCAACCCTTCCGAAGTGTAATAAAACCGCAAAAAAATGGTTTAGAACTTTTTATTCTTTCTCACTATCCCATGTCTGTATCTTTATCTCTACAAAAAGTAATATAATACCTTCAGTAAAATGCATGAGATGATGCCATAGACGAAATAAACAATGAAGAGTCGAAATAAACAAAGTTCGGCTTAACGCTTGGCTCGTGTTCGTTGGTCGTACGGACTATAAACTATAAAAGAGTTCTAAAGATATTTGGTACTCAAACTATAAGGGCTGGAAAATTTGAATTTTTACTGGCGTGATGAGCACCATCTTCGATTATCCTGATGGAGTATAATCCAAGGCGATTCCGGCAATTGAATATACTCATCCTGGATTAAATTCCATTGAGAATCATTGTTTATTGGTATGCCCAGTCGCGAATGGGTCTCATGTGCACGGCTAATGAAATGTATTTCGAATAGCCCGCTGCGTGCTCGACTGGCGAACGCATATCAGTTGCACGTGGTAAAAATAGAGGATACCCGAGCCTGCAATTTATCCTTAATGCACGTCTGTGCGACCTGTAATTTCAATTACAGTACGTCCGATGAGACTGATACGAATTTTTACCGCTCGCGGAAATTCGAATTTGTTTCGTGCGAATTACATATTTATAGGGTTGTTGATAGTGCGTTTAATTATGAAAGGTCCAGGAACGAGGCTGATTTTTATTTTTATTTTAGGATCCATATGTGTACTTCAGAAATATATGAGGTCAGGACAAATTAATTTAAAGGTAATTAAAAGTATATATTAAGTATTTAACAGTGCCGTTAATTATTCAAAATGTGTGATCTATAAAATGATTTATAAACAAGCGATGGTATTGATCTGTGTTAATCGTACAGGTTGCGACATCTAGCGATTATATAAGAAATTATAGTGTTCAGGTCACTGATCATCAGATGGCAGTGAAACTGTGTCATTTGCTAGCGGACATTGTTCGGTCGTCGGTAAACTTTTTGCGCGACGAAACTGCTACGAAGATTTGTTTTCTTGGAAGCGATTAAAAAAATGTAAACCAAGAAGAAACCGTTGAATATTAAACTTCGAGAGATGTTTCTTACCATGACCTTTGAAGTTCAAAGTAGCAAATCAGTTGTCTTCTGCGTACGACTTCAACAGCAGAGAAATAGGTAAGTTTCTTATTCCTTGTAAAGTATTCTTTGACATGTTATTTCAATGCTTAAAACTGCACCGGTCTGTGGTTGTTTTCGACTAAATTTAAAATATATTATTGGTACGCAAGGGCTGCTAATTTAAAGCTACAATTCCTAAATTGATTTTCTTGGTGCGTCATTCTCTTTTCGAATTGTGAATCGCTTGTTAGTTCTCGCGCCACATGGCGCTGCATCCGAGTATTTAACACTAAACAACCTGTTTAAATGGATATTTACGTTCCTTGAATATTATTTAATTTATTATTTTCGACAAGAGATGGATCATAGTATTAAGGAGAAACTGCGAAAACGTTTCAAAACTACGAAAGAATCGCCTATAGAAGATATTGCAGCTACTATTAGTAAGCAATTATTGTTTATGACAGAATTCAAGCTGTATGCAGATATATATTTAAGTATTATATTTTAATTTGTAATATGTGATAAGAAGTACTAATTTAATTGACTCAGTTTTTACTAATTTACGTTCAAAAATTAGATTAAGGTTATATGCTGAACTTTTCTAAGTTAGTAATAAGCCAGTGCTAATTACCATTTTTATAATAGAAATATTTTTAGGTGATATAGCAGATACGGTAGATTCCATAAACAACACTTACAGGGATCTGCTGAGAGTTAACAGAACCATAGTTTTATATTGTTTGAATGTTGAAAGACGTGCCAAGGAATTGAATATGGGAGACGTAGCGACTAATTTGACAAGCAGAAGTGATTCAAGTGCGCAGTCTACTTTGGAATCAGAGTGATTTATATTATAATAAGCTATAAATAATACTATTTAGAACTTATCTAAAAAGGAGAGTTCGGTAGAAATATATTCATTTAGACGATTACCGTCTCAATAATTAACTTGGGTATCGATCTTACAATAAGTGATGGAAACAATGTATTTTAAATAATTGTATTTTTTTATATCATAGAAAAAGTCTTTTGATATGTAAAAATATAATGACTCATATCCTGCAATATCGAATTAATACTATCTCACGAATACTATAATTAAATATTTAATGTTGTAATATAAAATGGCACGGTCGTGGAAGGTTGAGCTGTAAGCGTGTCTTGTGATGTAGTGTACAACTTCTGAATCCTTTTAATATTCTGGATCATCTTTGGGTTTTCTTCTAGGATCCGCAGCATCTAATGGCACTATAACTGGCGGTACTGTGTCTGGTTTCTGTGTCCTACTGAATCTGTAATCTGTACCCTTTGTCGGTTGAAACCATGTTCTGGATAATGGCAGTGGCTTACACCTGAAATTTATTTTTTAGTCTCAAAAATGCACATCAATTCATGCCTTAAATATTAAGTAAAAAAATATGGAATGCACAACATGCTTCTCAATGCATTAGGCACTTATAGTAAAAATATTCATGCTTCAATTGTCCTCAGTTCAACATAGTAATACAACAAAAAATTGTAGCAGTAGTGCATTCTTGCTGGTAGAACGGTTATTACAAATTAAGTCTTTAGAGTTATTAACACACTGAGTGCTGTTTAATACAGTATTCGATAGAAGTATTATTCTATCAAAATTTGTGATCATATATTTAACAACTTGGTATTAGTGCTTTATCCACAATATACCTAGTATCTTATCTTTTCTATTATAATTAGTTTTATACAATACATATTAGATATAAGCGTTAGTGTGATCATTGTAACATGAATGGAATGTTACATGACTTTATGCAACATTCAGCGTGTTAATGATAATAAATAGTTAGTTTCGCAAACGAAACGAATAAGGTAATAGACGTTCAGAGTGAAGAATCAAAGAAATGATCTGATGCAATGCGTGCAGCTTACAAGATATGCGAGAGAGTGCAGTACAAGACAGTTGCCCAATTCCCTTAGTTGCGTTCCTATGTTTTCAGCTCACACCTGCACGAGTTCTGATCAAAGTAGAGCCCTGTAGAACATTCTTCCTCGTCCCTGCAGAGACAGATACAGCGATCTGGATCCCAAACTTTGATATCTTTGTTTCGCAGACACTTATACTCCTCGTCGACGTTATTGCACTTGCATCCGCATTCTGACTTCACATACGATTGGTTTTCCTTGCAATGCTAAGAAGATGGAAATATAAATCATAATTACTGATTCGTCTTATTATACATATATCATTACCTATGCTAAATACAGGTTGAATAGTATTCATGCAACATCGGAATTTCTTGACGCTATTTAATCAGTTAGAAATTTATTCTTCTTCCGATATACGTATACATATACTATATGTAGTGTTCTTCTTATAGTGTTCTTTCTTGATTTAATTCATCGTACTTTCTTACGTTTGCAATTTATTATTATATATTATTTACCGTTCTAGTGGATAATATTCTGCAGCATTCACTGACAAGAAATATTGTTGTGTATATTATCGAGAACTGATCATAAACGTGCGAGAAATCTCGTTTATAGTCTAATTTACCATTTCAGACCGGAAATACCGTCGCACAAATTTGTCAGATCTGATCGTGTAAAGAAATTTCGCATACGGCCAGTATTAAAACAGTATTAACTGTGCAACAATGGAAACAGAACATCTACAAGAGAGCACAGAATTTTGAAACGTCGTCAGAACGCGACGACAGCGTATCAAGCGCGAAAGTACTCGCGAGCCGACTTGCACCGGTTTAAGAAGGAAGATGCCAATTATCGGCTGTCCTCAAATTACCTCCGCCTTGATTCTACAGTCGCACTTGCATTTCGTGTGCTCTTCCAACGGCACGATGCGATTCTCCTTGTATGTCATCTGATTGCTGTTACCAATGGTAACGACCGTCACCTTAAAACAGTCATACCATCAGTTCACGACACTCAATGTCGTACCATCAATTTGCTGTACTAAATATCAACAATTATTTTCTATGTACTCACCTCGTAGTTTCGAAGTTCCGTTGCAACCGGTTGACACGAAAGCAACGCATGACTGCAGCACCCCCCGCACCTCTTGACCCTCGTGCAAGAGGGAAAGTAAAGGATGGACCTCTCTTTGTTTTCTGTCAGGGAAACAGGTTGCAACTCGGGTATACACTTGGCCGGTGTCGCTGGTATTGCGTTCGAACGTTCTTGACCCTGGAAGTCGCCTATTCTACCTGAAAGCGAATCGTTTTGAACCGACAGAATGTAATTAGACGACTTCTCCTCGGCCCAGATCCCTCTCGCATTCCTTTTACGTCTGTAAAGTAGTTTCTGTAGTTTCGTGGTCGGATGTGGTCTTATTGGTTCCCGTCGTAAAGGCTGCGTTGCTCTTTTAGGCAAATCGAAGATGGACGAGCGCATACAAGCGATCTCTTTCGCGAATTGCTACTTTTCGATGGTCGATGGCCTCGTTTCCGGTTTAGAGGATCATCTATCGGAGAACGTGGTTCTGGATTGGTTCGGCAGGACGGTAAGTGGCAAGAAGAACGTCGCCGCATTCATGAACTCGCGCAACCAGGTGAACAGTAGACACGTGTTTAAGAATATAGTGCCTAGATCTGACATTGGGTACAAAGGAAAATCGTCGAAACGGTGAGGGAATTTTAGTACAGGATTGGGTGACCAGATCGGAGCACCTGGAAATCAGTATGTGGCAATTTTTAAAAAGACGAAGTCGGCAATTACGTCTTTCTTGCTGCACGAAGTTTCGTATTATTTGCGATGTGCGCACATGAACTTTTTGTGCAACGTTGCAAGCACTGTACGTTGCTGAAGAGATGATTAGCGGAGACCCTACTTGTTCATAGTCGACAACTAATCGGATACAGATCACGAAAATAAAAGCATAGGAACAAATTACAGGACGTCTGGTCACCCTTATTTAGAAATCCCAGGAGAATCCTAATGCTGATTTTAAATACAGGAGAAAGAATTTAGAAGGCGATACCGTGAGAACTGAAACATCCTTGGAAACCGACACCGTCATAGATTACAATCAGAACGAGATTGATCGAACGAAGAAAATCGCCGTGATAGCGAATGAGGACTGTGACACGTCTTACAATTTCGACGAGGGCGATCTCGTCAATCTTTTCAAGCTGGAGATATCGTCGACCAACACTGAGGAGATCGAGCAGAGCATTAATAGGATAAAATTGGAAGAGGAAATGCCACCAGCCGTCAAACCTATCAAGAGACAGCATAGTGACGGAGATGAGCCTGTTATCGTCAAGAATGACTTGAAGTACGTCGAAGCTGATGGTTACGTCGACTTCTCGAGGAAATTTTGGAAACGAGGCAAAGGTTGAACGAATTTGTTGAGATATGCTCTCCCTTTAGGTTGATGAGAAAGTAGCAACATTGTTGGGGTATTACTAGACTGCGGATATTTGTGTGCAAAATTGAAAAAAATCGAGTATGTTAATAGAGATTTGTTAACTGGAACAGCGTTTGGCTGATTAAAAGAAATATTTCTTTGCGAAACTCGTTCTTGATTGCACGATGATCAGCAGTCTAATAACTACCTAAGAGAAAACGCTTCTTGATTTCGCAAATCAATTGAATCGATAAGGTAAAGATCGCTAATTAATATGTTTGAAAAAGATTCAATCGGGTGAGCTTATGATACACCGTGTACGCATATTTCTCAATTTGTATTCATTGAACCCAAGAACTGTGTTTTGAAAGAAGGAGTTGACTGGAGTACACTTATGATCATAGTAACTGTTCATCCCACTCCAATTACTTCCGATTCGTAACACATTGATTATAAAAGTGGAGTGTACATCTATTATGGTTACAATGCCTTGCTCACCTCTTCGACTTTTTGAATTGGAATTGATTGAATGATTCATTTAGAATTCTAGAGTTGATTTTCTCTGGTCGATTAACCCAAGAAAGACAAATGGGAGTTCTCATTTCCCATCGAATATTTCTCTATGGCGAAGAGCCATTTTTATCTTATAATTAGTAGACTCTCTTCTTCAAAAATGCTGTTCCATATTAACTAGATCTTAGATCAATTGCTCAGACCCAAAAATCCTTGGCTTTTTAGACAGAAAAGTTAGACAATTTACAGTTGATTCTTAACAACGACATTTTCTTCAAGATTGGGACCCTCATTTCTGGGGCATGTCAAGTATACAGAAATGGAGACGACCATGCAAACTGCAGATTGCATACTTCACGTTGACAGAGCACTCGCAATCGGTCGAAGAGCAACCGCGCAAACATCATGCGATGTGTTTCAGTCAACCGAAAGTGAAATTGCCCAGTCTAGAAGAGATCAATGAAATCAGTGACAGATTGGTGCCGAACAAAAACGATTTTAATGGTTTCTTGAAGGAATTCGACTTCTTCAAGGACCGTGTGAATTTTCTAGCGCGCCTGGACACGGAGTTGCTGACTAAAGATCCTTTATCCATCGTTCCTCAGTATGTGGAGAACAAGCTCGTGTTCAACAAGCGTGACAACAAGAACGACAAGAATGATCGGAACGAGAGGAAGTTCGTTTCCAATTATCAGATTTATCTGATTATATACGAGAGCACTAATCGAATTAGATCGAACCTTCTTCAGAAGTTGGAAGATAACAAAGTAACGCAAATGGAAACACCGGAAACGGAGGATCAACCTAATCAGAAAACAGATTAACGTTCGCCTTTCGTTTACTCGCACAGGAAATACGCTTCCTGAGGTATTCTCGCGCAATGTCAAGGCCATATTATTTTTGAAAATCGTTTCACTGCAGAACGATCAGTTTTTTGATCGCGCGTTTTGTTACAGATTTTGCAGGCCTACTTCTACGATTGCATTTTTTTTACGTTTTAGTTTCACGGTCATGTGTGTCGTATGATCTCATGTTCTGATAGCCGAGCGGTGTTTGAACAATGTAATCGCTACACGTTGTTCCGATTAATATTTACCGCGGCTGTTCATTTATTTTCCGCTGTTTGTTCGTTAAACAGCAAGGAGCTGTTGCGGGCTGGCTCAGCATCGGCTAAAGAAAATCAAATTACGCGAGCGATATTATTCATAATTGAATTGAATAAAGGTATTTTTCTTAGACCATGATGCGTGTCTTACTTTACGAGTCAACTGGTCTTTCTCGGCGAATATTGATACGAATAAAATCGATGTATGTAATTAGACCGTGGGTCTCTATGCAAAACAAGAACTGCAAGAAACAGGAGCCTAATAGAAAAAAGCATTTTACGAAGTCGAAAAAGAAACACGAGAATATCTTTACATATTTTTAACGTTTAAACAGATATGTATTTTTGTCCTATTCATTTCTGTACGATTATTCTTCCTTCACTGTATTTGTCAACGAAGACGCGCAGTATCAGCAAAATTTTACCTGCGAAAAGAATTGAACCCGTCGCAACATTCTTTTTGGGCGCACCTTCGACGTGTTTCATGAATTCGTCCATCGACTCCATTTCGTTGATCTGTTGTGCCAGTTCCAGATATTTCTGAAAAAAAAACACCAACAATGAATCGCCTGGGAGAAACAATCGCTGGTAGGTTTGGTAACGCGGTACCTCGATCGCTCGGCAATCTAATCGGAGAGGATACGCCGATAACGAACCGACTCGAATCGTCGATAAAATCGATGACAGAGACCGTAAGAAAAATTCGCGGTCGATTGTCTGATAAGAAACAAAGAATGTAGCCGTCGGGACCGAGTGACATCAGTGTTGCGACATCTAATATGCGCTCCTTGAACGCAGAAACATTTTTTCCTGAGAAGAACGTGCTAATCAGCCGATTTGAAGCCTGTTTTGCTTAAGAATTCCGCAAATTTTGCATGCAGATCACTAATTGTTCGAATACAGAATACGTTAGCCATTCTTACCGAATCTAAAACTAGAAAAGGTTCGGCATCGTCTACCAGATAACAAACCGCGACACGTACACTGCGAAAGCAGTGAGGAAAACAGGATCGACCGGTGATAATGCGACATTTTCGAGCGTTGAGCAATTCCCAGGGTATTCCCGGTATCATCGGGTTCGTGATTCATCGGCTGCGATCGCCGATACTCGACCGATCTGTGGATTACCTGACGATCGGCAGGTCAATCATCCGGGAAACCATAAAAAACCGTTCGCTTTCGTTTCGGCTATATTTGGACCGCCATTAAACGCATCCTCATGCAGCAATCGCGTCGTTATCTTCTCGGCAGCGTGCATAGTCTACCTACAGCTTGCTCCGGACCTGGCACCCTTCGCCTGGAACAGGTTTCGAGCTGGTGGACGTGTCCAAGAGCGATCGAACGCCGCACCGAGTTTCTAAGAACCAGCTCTCCGGCGATAATGTTCCTTATGAATCATTCGATCGAATTTTTTCTTCTTGGAACGCCGAGGGATCGGATTCTCGACGCTTTGTATTTTGTCCCGTTCGCGAGAATTGTTTTGTTAGCGAAAAGATGCTTCTTAGGTGTTTTCTCGGGAGCGTATTGCAGGATTACGTGTACAGATGCTTGCCGCATACGTAAATATCGCAATCGTCGCGAATGTGCTGTGCGAGAGACATTGCACTTTCGAAGAACCGTAGCCTGTCGGCCTCCCCACGTCGTTGGGCTAGGACGTCACGAAGTGTTCGCAACGATTGGTTGTAATGGCAGGCGCCAATAGTTGTTGGAATAACGTCATGGCATTGGAGCACACGCTGCCGATCGACGCGCGGTAATTGCATTACGATCGAACGAACGGAAACTCTGCGAAACGACGCCGGCCTTGCCGGAAGAACGGACTTCACCTTGCAACACCTGTGTCGCGTGTTTTCTTAATCGCAACCTCAATTTTTCGCTTTCGGATTAGTCAGCGGCACGCAATCCTAATTTGTCCACGCACTGACCTTTCCAGCGAGCTGCCCCGCGGGGCGCTTATTAATAATTAAATTCATTCAATTCTGTCGGCAGATTTCTGTTTCGAGAACGGAAGTCTGCATCACAATTGAAAAATAAAAATTTCTTCCTTCGCTGAGATTCTATTTCTAATTCTTCGAATACAGAGGAATATCTAATTTTGTCTGATTCTGTTGCATTTTGTTGCAAAATGTAGTTTCGAACAAAACAGAATTGATTAGGGAGAAATGGAGAGTAAAATTAATCGAAATATCATTAGATGTGTTCTAACGATATATTGTTATGTAGTACAATGTTCTCCACTTCGAGCCAAGGATTAACAATTATTAATTTATCTCTGATCTGCCTAGAATTTTGTGTAAAGTCAAATTTGGCTAATTCGAAGGTTTAGTTTGTTTGAAAATGATAGCCATTTGTAACAGAGTAAATTCATATCTCTCGTTAATACTCCTACCTATACAGTATTTTTTGAACTGTTTACATTTGCATAAACATCTGCGTTCTACAGCATTTACCAATGTGTTCTAGATAACTGTGAGCCGAGTCATCGGAATTACGATGCTTTCTGCGGTCGTTGTTTGTTAATCGTTGAACTAGCCCGCACATTTTGCTCGATAATTTACACAACTGCAATTACGACACAAAAAGTGACGCAAACAGAAGGTATGTAGACTACGAGAGAACACACGAACCAGCGTTGTTCAGTGATTTGTGAGCGGAAGAGGAGAGTCCTCTAAAAATCTCTGTTAGGCTGATCAGGGATTTTAGGGCCCGATCGACGACTTCCGTGATCCGTGATTCACTCGATAAAATGGTCAGGTGTAAATTTACGCGATCGCGATCGTAATTGACAAGGTATTCGTCAAGCGGCGTGTAATCAATCACCAATACATCGTGACGGATACATCGCGGACACCGTGACGAGCATTCGAAGCATGCCGTGTACCAGCGAGGTTTCTGCTTCGATCTCTCGCATCCTTGACATTAGTGTTGTCCGGCCTTCGACGTCATCCAAGTCTTTGCGGGAAAAAGAGCATGCTCCCGTTGACAAGGATGTCGTAATATCAATGTCTACCGTCGTGAACAGGAACTAGCTCCTCCCATGCTATCGCAACTTTATTACTCTATTCGATGACGGCAATCAGTATTACCGGTTTATAGAACTTTATTTTTTTATACCTACGTTTCGAGTCTTTTCTCGGTACAAGACGCTTCCAACAATACCAACGAACATCTATCTAATTTTCTCTAACCTTCGTTGAAATCATTTCATTGTTCAAGAATCTTTTTGGGACAAAATGGCTGGAACAAACAGCAATTTTAATGTTCATTCATTTCGAGCGTATAATTTTATCGAGTTGCTTTATTTATCCCCGTCTTTTTCTAAGCAAGAAACAATGTTTTTTTTCGCTTTCAATTATACAGTAAAGAAACCTCTTTACACGGAAATGTCAAGAAAGAAACAACACCTTACTTTTGGGACCAAGGTGTTGAGTCTCTGCTGGTTGTACAAATAGGAAACTACGACTCTGTTTTATCTCTTTCCAATTGTAGCAAACGTAGAATTGTTCCCCATGTAAGACGCTCGAAGAAACGATTTTATCCTGCACCGAGCTGCGAATCACTATGAAAACATCCTACCGTCGGGAACAACAACGGACTTCCGATGCGAAATAATTCACGACCGGAAACACTGTCTCTGTCACATCAACAAACCGATTTTCCGGGACAAATAACCCAAGATAAGGCACCCGTGTATTTTCTATCGTTGCTGGTGGCCATTTCAATTACTCACACGTTGTTTATGCTGATCGCCACGCGAGACGAACAACAAAAAACCGGTGACGAATCCAAAAGGTCAATATCTGTCGTGCGGACCGTTATCGCAGAAAATTTCACGATCAGCTTCTGATTCGCGACAGAACCGCAGCCGGTGTATCGGTTCTCGACACAGTATTTTTCACGTCAGAGGAGATTGGTTTACGAGATGGCGCGCTCATTGTGTGCACGCTCTTTACAATCGCCTCATGCCGGACAACACATAATTGCGCTATTTACCGTACAGAAAACGTGGGAGTGTTGCGTGAGACTTTGGCCTGAGAACGGTTTATCGAGCCGTACGCGACTCAGAATCGGTGGGGTATCTTTACCGATAGATCCGTGCTGGAATCGTCGATGGACCGGCGACTATAAGCGATCGTGGTTCCTGTCAACACCCCTACTACCAGACATATCACCAGTAGGAGCAACCCCAAGGGCCATCTTCTGGACATTTTCGCGCAGCGTTTCTGTCGGCGTCGTCGTTGTTGTTGCCTTTGTTGTAGCTCCCGTTCCTCTTGATCTTGAGAAGGCACTAGAATATATTACTCGGGTTAAATGAAAACGGTTCACCCGATCGAGGGGTAGACGATCGACGAAAAAGCGACGAGCACACAGGGGGACACCACGGCGCGTGTTTCGGTACTTGTTTGATATCTGGTTGCGTGCGCGATCGACGTCGTTCGCACGTGTCGTCTACGAGACACTGCGGGGGCCACGGTTTGCGATGCACCGTGCAACTTCCACGCGCTCTGCTGCACGCTGGGAACACGGGGACGCACACCTGAGCAAGTTCCGCTGCTCGCGCCGCGATCGACTGCCGAAGCGAATACGTCTCGCCGCGTATTTCTGGCCACACACACGTGCCACTCTCTCGCGTACTGCTCACATACAAATCGCAATAGGTAGACGGCCAGCGCTAATCGCCTGTCGCCTGAAGACTGGCGACTATCTCCTGTCGTGTGCCGGCTACGGCCAATCTGTACTTTGTCGTAATTTTTCTTGCCGTCGATTTCCTTTCGATGACGAGCTCGTGCTATCAGACCGTAAGCTGCAAGCGTTGCCCCGTTATCTATCTTGAATATGATTTTTTGAAACGTTCGCGGGAACTATGCGTCGTGCGATTTATTTGCGACTTTTTGAAATTGAGATCACGTTGAAATTCAGTTTTATTGGGAAACTTCGTGAATGAATATTTGTGAAAATGTTGTAAACCCGCGGTCAGGACTTTGCAGAGACGTTTTTGAAATGTTAAACTGCAAGATTCTCCAAGGAGGCTGGTCGATTGCTTTCATCGCAGAGAAAGTCTCGTTTAAGATTCCTCGGGTCGTTCGTTGGAAGTCACTGCGTGCTGAGTAGATCGTCTTCGATCTCTTCGAACTTTCCAGTTCCTTCATATTTTATTTCATTGTAACTTATTCGAGCGAACGTGCATTTTATTCTAGCGAAGTCAGGTTTCAGCATATTAGCCAATATTATTGTAAATTACGTGAATTCTCTGTTAACATTCTACACAGATGTTTCTAAAAAGTCAAACTGCAAGATTCTGCAATAAAGAAAATGAAGTTTTCTCGCCAAACCCGGAGAAATTAGCTCCTGAAGATTTTTCATATTATTCGCAAGAAACAATTCGTTCATTCTAATTTTCTAATATTATTCGAACATTGTTGCCTTAAATTATAAAGAACTGCAACTTTTTATTCTTAGTTCCGGAACTTTTTCATAAGCTACATTGGAATTTGTTGCATCTGGCACTTTTTGAAAAGATCTTGTATTGTAAGCTCCAATGAGAACAGATATAAACGAATTATTGAGTTTCAAAGTTTTGATTTTGAATTAATAGAATTTAAGAATAAAAGTGTTCCTACAACAAGTTTTTCCCAAACATTGTGACAGGTGTTAAATATTATTTAACGATTAATATTATAATAACACCAAATGATTATTCTGGTTATCAACCAAAACTAATAATAATAATCTAGCATATAATAATACGGTATTTTATTTATTTTATAGGATCTTTTTAAATAAACGTCGTGAAAGAATTTGTTTCCATAGAGCATTTAATGTGCAGATTTTTAAATCTTTGTTCCACGAGAACATTTGAGCCGTTTATTTTGAAAGTGGCATAAGTCACTTTGTTTTTAAGTCGATATATTTAAGGGTTTGCGTTTTAACACGTTTAAAAATATGGATGCTAACTTTCGAGAAGATTTACTTGTATTTGTTATCTCAGGATACTGATATTTTTCTCGGTATAAATAATTTCGTATAAACATTAAAAAATCACCACTTTTCATTACGGTAAAGTGACTTATGCCACTTTCAAAATAAACGGCTCATTTATCGAAAAAATTTCGAAGAGTAAGAATTCTCCTCGTAAAAGTTTCACAATGATTTTGTCGAACGAAACGTGAAAGTTTGAACAAAATGTTTTCCAAACGTAAGGTACCCATTTATTTCGAAATACATAGTCCTAGTAATCCAATATGTTGCAGTATGATGCACTATTGTTGCATTAAATTGATTGGAATTTCGAGAACAACGCTCCAAGGTAATTTAACGAAGCTATCAAATTAGTAAAGTATCGAAACATTGAGCGAACTGTATTTTGATGAGGTAATGCAATTTTATTGGTGCCTATTGCAATTCGTCTTGAGAGTTAGGATATATTTTCGGAAAATTGAATGAGTTTATTACAAAAGTGGCAAAATAATTCGATTTTTCGTTCTTCTTCCGGATGATTGTTTCATCGTTATCAAAGCTGAAATTGACGCATCCAATGGTATTTACACGGATTACGATTTTCCCTCTTATTCACCGGAAATGTTGCTCTGGATACTATGTTAGATAATATCGCGTACATGAATGTGGTTTATTGACATTATTTGCTTTAGCTGGTAGTGAAGCCTACAATAATTATCAGATCCAAGATGCATTGATAATGGAAGAAATCGTGATGAGAAAAAAAAGTGGTGAGAAATCATTTCTATAAACTATATTTTATCGATAATACTTGTAAGTGGTATTAATACATTTTATCTTTGGGATGAGTAATACATTTCGATTTATTGTGTCTGTATCTGCTGAGACATGACGCTATTATCAGATTAGGCTTTCGCTGTATTAAAAAAGTATTATTTAAAGAAAGGATGAAAAAAAGGAAGATTTCTTCAATCTCTTTCTGTTCTCAGTACCATAATTAATGACTAGCTCGAACAAAACATTCAATTTTTTGATTAGAACATTTCACCACGATTTTGTATAATTTTCTGAAATATTGCATAGCTACAGATTTTTTTTGAATGATTTTACTGTTACTTACTTTCCGAAATTTACTAATCGGGGACACCTGGAAATTTACTATTCGAGGAAACCATTTACATTCCCGGGTAATCATATGATATGGAGATTTTATTTGGATCCACAGAACATGGAAATGATACGCCACGAATTTAGGAGACGACACGGTGAATTTTGTTACGCAATTTGATAAAAAATATAAGCGAAATTTGTGCGCCTGGAATGTTGATAGACGAGTTGGTCGCTCGACGAGAGGATTTTAATGATTACGGGGTCGAGCGAGGGCGTGGGCGTTTTAATTTACATGCGAGATTAAACTATTCTAGAATTGCTCTGTATAATGCAACGCCTCAAGGTAGCGGATTATTAAAAAATTCGGTGCAATGTAGCAGTTGGTACGCAGTACTGGTGTATTAAGGATGTAAAATATAAGCGATAAGTAATTTTGTAACATACGGTTCATTATTAATCGTGATATAACCATGTCAGAATTATTGAACACCNACAGGTGTTAAATATTATTTAACGATTAATATTATAATAACACCAAATGATTATTCTGGTTATCAACCAAAACTAATAATAATAATCTAGCATATAATAATACGGTATTTTATTTATTTTATAGGATCTTTTTAAATAAACGTCGTGAAAGAATTTGTTTCCATAGAGCATTTAATGTGCAGATTTTTAAATCTTTGTTCCACGAGAACATTTGAGCCGTTTATTTTGAAAGTGGCATAAGTCACTTTGTTTTTAAGTCGATATATTTAAGGGTTTGCGTTTTAACACGTTTAAAAATATGGATGCTAACTTTCGAGAAGATTTACTTGTATTTGTTATCTCAGGATACTGATATTTTTCTCGGTATAAATAATTTCGTATAAACATTAAAAAATCACCACTTTTCATTACGGTAAAGTGACTTATGCCACTTTCAAAATAAACGGCTCATTTATCGAAAAAATTTCGAAGAGTAAGAATTCTCCTCGTAAAAGTTTCACAATGATTTTGTCGAACGAAACGTGAAAGTTTGAACAAAATGTTTTCCAAACGTAAGGTACCCATTTATTTCGAAATACATAGTCCTAGTAATCCAATATGTTGCAGTATGATGCACTATTGTTGCATTAAATTGATTGGAATTTCGAGAACAACGCTCCAAGGTAATTTAACGAAGCTATCAAATTAGTAAAGTATCGAAACATTGAGCGAACTGTATTTTGATGAGGTAATGCAATTTTATTGGTGCCTATTGCAATTCGTCTTGAGAGTTAGGATATATTTTCGGAAAATTGAATGAGTTTATTACAAAAGTGGCAAAATAATTCGATTTTTCGTTCTTCTTCCGGATGATTGTTTCATCGTTATCAAAGCTGAAATTGACGCATCCAATGGTATTTACACGGATTACGATTTTCCCTCTTATTCACCGGAAATGTTGCTCTGGATACTATGTTAGATAATATCGCGTACATGAATGTGGTTTATTGACATTATTTGCTTTAGCTGGTAGTGAAGCCTACAATAATTATCAGATCCAAGATGCATTGATAATGGAAGAAATCGTGATGAGAAAAAAAAGTGGTGAGAAATCATTTCTATAAACTATATTTTATCGATAATACTTGTAAGTGGTATTAATACATTTTATCTTTGGGATGAGTAATACATTTCGATTTATTGTGTCTGTATCTGCTGAGACATGACGCTATTATCAGATTAGGCTTTCGCTGTATTAAAAAAGTATTATTTAAAGAAAGGATGAAAAAAAGGAAGATTTCTTCAATCTCTTTCTGTTCTCAGTACCATAATTAATGACTAGCTCGAACAAAACATTCAATTTTTTGATTAGAACATTTCACCACGATTTTGTATAATTTTCTGAAATATTGCATAGCTACAGATTTTTTTTGAATGATTTTACTGTTACTTACTTTCCGAAATTTACTAATCGGGGACACCTGGAAATTTACTATTCGAGGAAACCATTTACATTCCCGGGTAATCATATGATATGGAGATTTTATTTGGATCCACAGAACATGGAAATGATACGCCACGAATTTAGGAGACGACACGGTGAATTTTGTTACGCAATTTGATAAAAAATATAAGCGAAATTTGTGCGCCTGGAATGTTGATAGACGAGTTGGTCGCTCGACGAGAGGATTTTAATGATTACGGGGTCGAGCGAGGGCGTGGGCGTTTTAATTTACATGCGAGATTAAACTATTCTAGAATTGCTCTGTATAATGCAACGCCTCAAGGTAGCGGATTATTAAAAAATTCGGTGCAATGTAGCAGTTGGTACGCAGTACTGGTGTATTAAGGATGTAAAATATAAGCGATAAGTAATTTTGTAACATACGGTTCATTATTAATCGTGATATAACCATGTCAGAATTATTGAACACCAGAGACATTATTGAGATCTCTGCAATGTATAATCGTCATATCTTGCTGCGACTGCAATTTTTACAGTGATAACAGTTCAATCCTTAGCAGTTATATTATCGGTAATATAATCGATTTAAGAAATGTAAAATGGAAATCGGAGATCGAAGTATTAATATTGTTCTAATTGACTTGATCGTTAAGTAGATTGCCGACTATATAGTCATCCTAATTTCTACTAAATTGCTTGACTCTTATTGCTCTTATTTTACTCTTAAGCTCATGAAGTGTTTTATGAATCATGGTTACACGAATGCTAGGCATTCCAAACATTATGGCGAACTTCTGTTGTATTGCAAACCGTGCCACTGAATCAACATTATATATAAATGTTGCAAATATTCTAGTAATAATGGTCCGCTACATCATTATTAAAATGCTGTTTAATAATTTTCTAGTGATGGAATACATCTTGAAGTAAACGAAAGCAAATCCTGGCAGCAGCCATTTTGTTTGCGTCGCAACAATGACTGATTAATTGGGGATTTATTGGAATCTAGGAATCTATTATTCATACGTCATACCATAATAATTGCAATTAACTGTATAATTCTTTATTAATTCTTACTCAGAGGTTACATAAGGGACAGGAGACAAGATTTAACTCAATAAGCTGTGATTTATCTTACACGTATGTATCTGATTACAGAGATGTTTACGATAGTAAAAAAGATGAATCCGCAACATAATTGACCATCAGAAAGTCAGGTATCCATTGCATATATCGATGTTGGGTCCATTATAGTTTGAGGTAACACGGATGCTTTTGCGTGTATATGTGTGGACTTCGTGCTCGAAGTTCACTGTAACAAAACGCAAAAAATGAGCATTATAAAACTAAAAAGAAAATGATAATAAATGAAAAAATGAGTATCATAAATGAGAATCAAAATTTAATGCTAAACATGTCTCAGTCAATTAATACTTCTGATCTACAAAAGAGGAATTGTCTCAATTTTGTCACATAATAATAAAATAAGCTGAAAACAACTCACTAAAAAATCCGTAAAATAAAAAAATGATGAAACTCCGCACATAATTAAATTATGCTTGAAACAACTGAATTTATTAAACCTGATACATTGTTTAAAGGGGTGACATCCCTTGAATTGTTATTGACGTTTCGTTTGAATAGTGTGCAAATTTTTTTTTTTAATTTAATTTAATTTTGAATTTAGTTTTGAATTCAATTCTAAATTTAATTCGAAAACAATTTTTTTACGCAGTTGAGAAGACACAATAAAACGATGCAAAAGAGACAATATTGAAATTTTTTCAGAGCCTGTTTTCATGCCTATAAAGAACGTATGGACATAAAAAAATACTATTATATTAGGTATAACTTAATCCACTTGTAAGCAAAGGTTCACAATTTTTGGATTTTACGGGTTCAGAAATATCGCTCGCGTTTTCGCGATCTTTACTGGTTTCTAATTCATAACAACGTTAACCGATTTTGATGACATTTTCAGTATGCTTATAATTTAACTGAGATCTATATATACAAACACATATTTTCAATATTCGTTATTGGCTCAGATAAAAGATCTAAAAATTAGAATCTTTTATCTTTCTTTATTATTCTAAATAATCGTAAAGTTAAAAAAGGTATTTTAGTAATCGTCTAGTAAATTAGTCCTTCTACCACCTAAAAATAATTCAGGTAGTTTAGCATAGCTTTAGAAAAATTCTACCATTTTAAAAGGTGTTCACTTATATTTAACCCCTATTATACATTCATAATTCCAATAATTGTAGAATAAAAATAATCAAACTGGTCATTTGACCGACTATGGTTAGTGATAATAAAAATTAATGAACTTTTAATTGAATAATTTACCGCATTGGTCACAATTTCCCTGCACCCCATGTTGCGAACCAGTCTGTATCCCTCTGGACACCGTCTACTCAATCTTCTTTCCGGAAATGTTAAGGGTTTGGATTGTCCGACAGCGATCAGAGCGATCACGAAAATCGCGAGTAGTATGAAACGCACTGGCGACATTCTATTTTCTGGTCCTTGACTGCTCGTTAAGATTTTTTCGTCTGTCCACGGGGGGCTGGTCTACGACGTTTAGATACAAATTGGCGACTGACACTGAGGCCAATGAAAACACCATGGATATACCCTCGTTCACGTGCGATATCCCTCCCCTCTTTTCGTTTATTCGCACTAATTTGTGGTTACTGATCATATCCTGGCCACGTACACATTGCGGTTTCTATTCGGTAATTGCGTCAAATACATTCTGAGATACGATAAAGTCCGGAAACTTCAATCTCGGTAGAAGTTTTACGATGCAGTCATGGGAGATTACGTTTATATCAGGCTGTGAGATTTTAGTTTTGTCTATCTGACTCTTCGTTGCGGTTTAATTCCACGTGTTTTTAATTATTCATACCATGACATAATTTGCGCAACAGATAACTGATTCTTGTCGTTTTTACAATAACATACCGTGCGAATTGCGGAAAGAATGAATTAATTCATGCGATCGAAATTTAGCCCTCATACAGCCCTATCATAAAGTGCGATTTTCCAGCTTTTTAATTTAAGCTCTCAAAAATTTGAAAATTCCTACGACTACATTTTAAAATTGATTCGCAGTAATCCTTGAAAATTCAATGATTTTTTTCCGAGCTATTGGTCGAGGTTTCTTGGTTTTTTTACGCGAATTCGAATTCTTTTTTAAGGTCGAAGTATTTTTCGATTGAGTACAATCTTCCAGCTTGACCTTAAGTTTCCGCAAGTTATTGAATTGTCACGGCAAACTACTCTTATAACACTGTTAATTCGTTCTGTGCTGCATCGAAACCGTGTTAGAAAAAACTTAGAATTAATACAATTCGGAGAAATCCGTCCGTGTTGTGTTGAAGCCGTGTTCTCGGAGTACATACATCGTGTGTTATAAGAAATCTAGGAACAATATAAATCAAGGGCATGCGTTCCGTGTTAAAAAATTCATGTAAAGTATTTTTAATGTTTCATACGACAAAAACTAAGGAATACAAATTTCAGAAATGCTGAGGACTTGTTGTTGGACACCAGCCATAAAACGAAAATGAAACAAATCAAAAGTTCTTTTACTTAATAATTATATTAATACACATCTGAAGTACGTTTAAATTCGTGAACAAGCAACCGACTGCAGAATTAGGTTTCAATAAGGACAAGCTACGCATTACTACGTACAAGGCAAACGCCTTGTTTATGGCAACAAAACCGTGACGCGATGGAAACATTTCTGCTACCAATATGAGTTGAGCTAGACAAAAATCGTGTTATAAGAATACGTGTTGTAGAAGGACTGTCGCAATTTTTTACATCGTTTCATATCAAATCCGTGTTCCTAAAGCATCGTGTTATAGGAGGATTGACTGTATTTAAAAATTGATTTGTAGTTTAAATTAATAAATATTTGGAAGAACGATTGTGACGTCACATGTGGCAAAAATAAGAAGCATTTCATTGCCTTGATGTAACCCGACATTGGTGCTGCCACCTATAGAATTTGTACCAAGTGATGCTAGATAGCGCTGTCATCTTAATCTTCGGTGAAATTTCTCTGTCGGTAATTTTGCCTAATAGTTTGAGTGTTTTGCCATTCTCTCGAATGGCACATGTAGGTAATTAAATAGTTTATTCATCAGTAAAAATAATTAAGAATAAATAGCTTCAAAGGAAACTGGCTCATCACATGATCTTAAAATAGTAGTAGATTTTATGAATTTCACAAAAATACATTAAAATAGTCAGTCTGTGAAAATACATTCAATTCTTTTTATTGGTCTATCTATCATTGTTTTTTATTGTTGTTTTATATTTATAATACAGTGGACTATAATAAAGAGGAAATTCTGCGTTTTTGTATATTTCTTACAAACAATTCGATTGTTTTATAGTGTAGATAACTTACGGACAGATAATAAAGAAGTTTTCCTGTGTCGACGATTTCATGCGATTAATCATTATGTGGAAAATATATTTCTTATAAATATTTACACATTTTACTGTTCGCATTAACGATTTCCGATTAATATGCTGGAATAATTTGTATTGTTATTGATTGATATCTTCATTACCAACAGTGGCTTCATGGACGCAGACGAATCCGTTGTTTCTGCAAGTATCTGCTGCAGATATTTTTGTTACAGACGATACGTTAGGAACACTTGATTGAGAGGTAGATACCTGGTACAGAAAAATAGTAAACGTAATTATAAAATATCGTTACAGTAAAAAATTCTCTGCAATCTTCCTTTTACGTTATTCCACAAAAAGCATATAGAACTGAAAAATAAATCAAATAGATCCACTTGTTATCTTAAATTTCTCTCCTTTTTCTGCACCGAAATACTAATCAATAGACAAAATAAAATTTGTGCAAAATAAAATTTGTTTGCCTCGACTGAAGTAAACTACAGTCGAACAAGAAAGAATGTGCTCGCTCTGTTAATAAATCTAATAAGTTGGAAATAATAGAACAATTTTCCTAAATTCTTCAACCGTTTTCATTATCCCGTATTTCATCTGCTTATTTGACGCATAAATGCATGAAATCCGCTGTCTAATAATCAGTATACCCTAGAACGACGCACAAACTAAAATTTTCCCGCATATACCGCAAGCAACTGGAGCCAAATAAAACTCTTTCACTAACAATTATAACAAGCTGGCAGCATTATATCGATTTCTTCAAATTTCTTTAATCTCCCTACTATCTTGAACTTCACCAATTCGTGTCTACCATGAACGTATAAAATTGGCGATCTGTTAACTACTTACTCAGAAAATCGCTCTGCACCGGTTCCCGATCCGCACCCTATCCGGCGGACAATTAATAGGAACGTTAATAAACGATCCCGTCTTAATCGTTGACGTCTCAAATTTCACGAATGTCTTGTTCTGTCTCGTCGTCGGATTGTTAACGGCCTCCGTCGATGATAGAAACAATAAGATCGCCACTGTCAACGCAACAGTACACCGAAGTCCCATGTTGCAGCGAGATGATCGGTCTTTAGAGGATGATCAACACCTTTGTTCGAGACGAGCGTGTCGAACCGATTCCGTCGTCGACAACGGTTTCCTGAGGTGACGTTATGATGATTTCTGGTGACGTTATCGATCGGCGAATTTCTCGATAGCTTCGATGAAACGTGCTTTATCACCTTGGAGTTTTCACGGAACCCGTCGCATTTCGATTTTCACTAGCGATGGGATCGGCACGTTGCATAGTTCGTCGGGAGCAGCGTGCTCAGAAACGAGAGCCACGATCACGGACGGCCTTGTCTCGCGGAAAGATTGTCTTATCACTCGCACGGGTATCGATGCCAGTAAAAACTGTTATCAGACGATACGATGTCTTTTATCGGCTCGAAAGATTGGTATCGCGTCGAATCCTCGTTCGGGAACGGACTCCCTCCGTTTCCAGTGAACGATAACGAACCTTCGCGTGCACGTTCATCGTCCTCACGAATTTCGACACGATCTCTTTTTGTAAGATGTCTTTACGATCGAAACAGGAGCAACATGTTCACCAGACTTTCCTGCATACTCCAAGTCGGTCGGGCCGATAGCCAGGCCTGCAGACCGACAGCCTTCTTTGCGAAGGAGTCCCTATTATCGAATTCTCCGACACTGGAAATTCGTTTTCTGTATTAAACGGGATTGTTAATCCGACGTTAGACTCCTTCAATTCCGTCACGTTCACGAAAGACCAACTCGCGACCACTGTCACCCAAATTGCTATCAGCGCGATTACTCTGCAACAGAGTCTCATGGTACCGATCTTCTAGATCCGATTTACACCGGATTTGCACGGTCCATACGGGATTTCCGCTGCGCCGCAGCCGTCATGCGTCGCCGACGGATTTCTGTCGGATACTAAAAGGTCAAACCAGAGATTCACGGTTTGTCGGACTCATCAGTTCGCGATAACCTTCGGCGACGCTCGCCAGCTTATAGTGGTAGCTGTTTTTATCGAGAGCTATAATACGTTTGCTGTTCTCTTTTGGTTTGTAGAAAACTTTGAGAACTGTTTAACACGGGAAATGCCGCCTCAGTCACGTATGAGTGACTCTAATGTTTGACTAGTTTTCAAACATCTCTGTTCTAATACATTCGAACGGACTGAATTTAACTGGGACGTTTGGAATGCAAAAAATTGAAATGTCATCTGCAATGGTAAAATGTAACTTTCTAGTTTTACTTTCACTAATTTTATTTTGACTTTGCGAGAATTTTCGGGATTGATTTTCGGCAATTAACGTGTTAAGTCAGGAAGCCGAGACGGGATTGCTGCAGCGTCTAGTTTGAAGCTGTTTTACAATAGACAGTTGGTCCCCGGTCTGTGGTTACCGGGTCATTTTGACCCAGCGTATTTCAATCGTCACCTAATTTGTCAATTCTCGGCAATTCGATTAAATAAATGGCTGTTATATTATCATCGACAGAAAGGTTAATACGTCTACATGAAGTATAGTCAATTCTCCTTAATTGACGCTCAGCTTGGAAACAAAAATGGACACTTCGGGAAGAGGAGGTACGATTATTCGGGCCTTGCGGCTCGTTTTTATAGTTGCTGACAATCGGTGACTATAATAACGAGCCGCAAAGCTCGAATAATCATATCTCGTCTTTCCAAATTGTCCATTTTAGAAAAAGTTTTGAGCGTCGATTAGGGAGAATTTACTGTATCTTCAAAAGTATGTTTGGGAAAATTGATGGTTCAAACTAGCTGCTGTTGCCTTACTACACAAAAAACAGCTGTTTTATATGAGTTTATAAAAGTAACAATAGGACATATATTCTGAATTTTAACAAGTGTTACTGTTAACATTTGCCGTAAGTAACATATAAATTTCATAAATAACACATAAATGTATCTTTACGATACGAATAATCGTAAATTATTAACAAGTGTTACTTACTGTTAACATTTGCCGTAAGTAACACATAAATTGCATAAATAACTCATAAATGTATCTTTACGATACGAATAATCGTAAATTATTAACAAGTGTTACTTACTGTTAACATTTGCCGTAAGTAACACATAAATTGCATAAATAACTCATAAATGTATCTTTACGATACGAATAATCGTAAATTATTAACAAGTGTTACTTACTGTTAACATTTGCCGTAAGTAACACATAAATTGCATAAATAACTCATAAATGTATCTTTACGATACGAATAATCGTAAATTATTAACAAGTGTTACTTACTGTTAACATTTGCCGTAAGTAACACATAAATTGCATAAATAACTCATAAATGTATCTTTACGATACGAATAATCGTAAATTATTAACAAGTGTTACTTACTGTTAACATTTGCCGTAAGTAACACATAAATTGCATAAATAACTCATAAATGTATCTTTACGATACGAATAATCGTAAATTAAAAAATTAGTGACCCGTCATTTTGACGGGTTCCCTAAATTTAGTGTTAAATTAGCTTAAAAGTTCTTCTCTGTTACAGGACAGTTAAACCAGATTGGAGAAATAAGCCGTAATCAATGTTTCGTAATCAGTGCGAATTAGACTATTATCTCTCAGTAGATTGTAATGTTTGCTACTGATATTGTCAAATAACATGAGTTCTACCGTTCTCTAAGTATTCGCTTATTTAATCGCATCGTTTGTTGCTCATATAAGTGTTCATAAAACCTACTGCGTGCATTAGTCAAGTACGAAACGATTCGTCAACATTGTGGTTGCATCCAGGTTTCCTTGAACTGCATCGATGATTCTACGATCAACAAAGAAATCGGTTAAACTCTGTTATGTAATGTTCGTATCTCAGACAAAAACGTTTGAGAAAAACTGCGCATGTTCTTTGAGCCAGAAGAAATTCTGCGTTTGTTCGTCGCGATAACCTCCGATGACGAGTATAGCAAATGTTGATATTCTGAACGACGCGTTCGCCCTCGTACTGCTTTGTTCATGTGATGTTGTAGTAAGCTATACATAGTTAAAATGTCTTTGACAAGACTCTAGATAAAAGTACATCTTCAGACAGATTCCAACTTATTTCAAACATTTTACATTATAGGTATACTGCTTTACTAGAACATCAGTTTCTTAATACATGTGCAGACAATTCTCCCTAATTGACGCTTAGCTTGGAAACAAAAATGGACGATTTGAGAAGAGAAGGTACGATTATTCGACCCTTGCTACCAATTTTCAATAACTATAAAAACGAACCGCAAAGCTTGAATAATTGTATCTCCCTCTTTCCAAATTGTCCATTTTTGTGTACTGAGCGTCAATTAGGGAGAATTTACTGTACATATATATTCGATCTCAAGTAACTCTAAATTATATACACTGTTTGTTCTAACGTTGTCAGTTTGTTTTATCGTGTACGTTTTCACGCATTGCCTCGTTTTACTCAATTGTGCATCTTTAGTCAGTGCTTAGAATTATTTTGACAATTTCGATCATTCGGCATTTTGTCAATCACTTGATGATTGACTCAAATCGTACATTGATCGATTAGGTACAACAGAAGGCCCATCTAAACAATCTTAAGAAACAAAAATAGCTAAGTTGCAGACCGCGTTGATACAAAACAGAATCCAGAGGCGGTATACTGTTGCTCCAATTGGCGTATATCGCACACAGTGTAACTATTTATGTAACGAAGAACTTAGTAGACTAGAACGAACGAGTAGCAATAGAAATCATATAATGATATTCCAGAAACCTAGGAGAATACTTGAGAAAGAAAGCTGCGCAAACTTAAACGAACGATATGCAAGTGACGTCACTGCAGATAATTGAATTTGACGCATTCTCGAGGAATTCGCAAACCGCGATATCAAGGAAAACATTGTTTTCCTTCGCTCGAACGTGTCGCTAAAACGAAACGAACTGCTGTCGAGGAACCAAAACCGCTTCGAAGCGTCCAAGAGACAACCGACTTCCTTAGCTCGCTAGTTAATTAGAGGATGAGCATTCGCGAGCGGTATTCCTCAGGATATCCGTGGAAGGAAACGAATAAGCAGTTCGAGGTTCGTGGCGCCATCCCGCGATCATCTTGCGACCGATAAAATGGTCGCGGTGTGGTGTCACGCGATAAGCGTCCAGCTCGCGGAGACATTAGACCGTGACAAATGATTCGCCGTCCAGAGGCTGCTGTGGCCGCGCTAGACATTTTTCACCTTATCGCGGCTCGAACGGCGAACACACGCCGTCGACCTACGGCCGAGGATTTTTAATCTTCGCCCCCGGGGGCTGGTGCACGCTGTCTCGTTCCTTACCGTCGTTCCCGCGATTAATTAACTCGGCCGATTCCTCGCCGGCAGACACGCTGATACGCGTCGCGCGATTCCGCGATTACGGAATCCTCATTATCTGAATATCGTCGCGCGGAATCGTTTCGTGCAAGTTCCCGCGAGTCATGTCGCAGAGATTGCTGTAATTACCGTTCGATGTTTTTACTCGGAATGTTCACCCTCCAGGGACATAGAATTCCAGCGGTACTCGATTGGTCGCGTTTCTCTTTGCGAGAACTCTGCTATTACCGGCGACAGTGGCTCGGGAATTTGAATAGATCGAGGGGGAGAATAAAGGCTGTTTCTCGGCCCGCGTTGAGTTATTAACCAGACGTGCGTTTCAATTAATATTTCATTGCTAGTAGGTTGTTCCATATTCTAAAGTCTTCATGAATTTATTATATTCGGGAATTATCCCGCACGCTGGTATAGAGCCATAAGAAGTAAGCAGCATTGTATTAGATCGAGTCATAAATAACTTCCGATGCAGCTAGGTAGAATCTATTGTTCGTATCTACCCGCTATGAGTCACCGGGACAACCGAGTTTTTACTTTCACTAAATAGATAAAGGTTCAAAATAAATAAAATAAAAAAAGAAAAGACAAGGTAAAAGAAACGGAAGTTATCTATGACTCGACCTAATAGAACGGAGAACGACAGGTGGAAAATTCGCTGGAACAATGCTATATCGAACGTTCCACTGGAAAGATTAAAAATTGATGATCCTTGGAAAAAGTTTCATATCTTTCGAGAGTATTCTGTACGCGATCTGCTCGTCGATTTATTGTTTTTTGCAAAAAAGCAAGCGCAAAAACGCATGATCGCGCACAAACAGTCATTTACGTCACGCTATGATCTACAAGCAAGACAAATCAAGTTTCGATCAAGAAATTTTACTGTCTGTCAGTCTACTCAAACCGTGTGCGCGTTTCAAGCGAAACGATTCTAATTCGAAAATGCCAATCGATCCTACCTCCGAAGACGATACCAATTTCCTCCAATTTACAAGTACACAATTGTAAATTCAATTTATCTAGTGTCACAGTTCTATACTTCTCATGGTAAGCGCTGCAACTGAGAACATAAAAAGATGTTTTGTTTATTAACTCGTTCGTTATCAGGTCCGCCTGTGGCAATAGCCTTTGCACATAGTTCTAAATTTGTACACAATGCAACACGAAAGTGCAAAATCATGGTAACGGCGAATATACAAATGATAACGCTACATATGAGCCGTTTATTTTGAAAGTGGCATAAGTCACTTTGTTTTTAAGTCGATATATTTAAGGGTTTGCGTTTTAACACGTTTAAAAATATGGATGCTAACTTTCGAGAAGATTTACTTGTATTTGTTATCTCAGGATACTGATATTTTTCTCAGTATAAATAATTTCGTATAAACATTAAAAAATCACCACTTTTCATTACGGTAAAGTTATTTCTTCACTTTCAAAATAAACGGCTCATATAGGCGGCTCAGAAGCCAATCGTGTAGGTCCAGTAACCTTAAAATTGGGGTAAGTAAAGCTTTTGTAAATTAGTTGTAAACAAATAACAATGCTCTGTACAATTTTGTTTAGTCATTCCGTGATCAATATAAGTGCTGCTATCCATTGTTCATTTATGAAGATATCAACTATATTGATTTATCTCTGATTGTTTTCTGAACCGTTCATATAGCGCCTACAGAATTTCAGTGCAAGTGTCAAGGATGTCGTAGTTTTATTTTTTGTTAACTCTTTGGGGAGGAGCTGCAACATGAGTTGCAGTCGTTTGTAAGAGGCACACATATATCTGTATTAATAATAATAATAACAATAACGAATAACGACACGAGAAGATGGTACCTCGGAGCTGTCTCTCTAAAAGCCAATGAAAGAAACGATTGTATAACTGTACTAGTATAACTATACTTTCGTTAAACAACGAGATACGAGTTAAAAAATGGTAAAATCACTTAACCTTCTGTTGCGGGAAAAATCAGGTTACGGGGCGGCGCGATCGAAGAAAAACCAAGAATTCCCATTATCGAGGAAAGAGATCTGGAACGTTTGTTACGCTTATCCCCTATTCAGTCAAGGGTTGACTTCTCCCCGGGGTATGGATGTGCGGCAACGGTTTACGTGCGGATCGTGTAGGGCCAATTTCTCATACGTACACGTCGCCGCGTGGTCCGATTTTATCCGCGATTCGCTTTGCATGAGCGGAATATCTGGGCCGACCGATGATCGATTTACTAAACGTCAAATCGCGTTTAAACTGTCCAGACCGATTTTTCACTATATGCTGTACACGATGAACCGAGTCGCCGGCGCAGAATTTTTCAACGTTGGGACTTCAGAACGCCCCGAGCCTATCAACTAAATGAAATCGGATCAATAGCTGCGAAGGCTGCGAAATTATTTGCATCTTCGAACGGGTTGCGACCTTTCGTTGATTGTGAACACCTCTAATTGCAAGTATTTCCTATTCCAAGCAATTTCAATTCTAAGTAGCTGAAATCTGAAGACAGAGACTTCGGTTTGATGCGGCTGAATGCGATATATATATATATATATATATAGGATACAGATTCTATCTCTACAGAGATAGGATCTCTCTAGAGAGAGATTGTCTAAGATAGTCTCTACAGAGTGGTGTTGTCAGTTGACATCGAATCTTTATACAAAATAATAATCAACTGCGTCTATCTCAAGAAATAAAAGTTATTTAAAAAGATTTTCTCTTTCCTTTACGAATGACCAATTTCCAATACAGTAAATTCTCCCTAATTGACGCTCAGATTGCTTACAAAAATGGACGATTCGGGAAGAGGTGATTCGAGCCTTGCGGCTCGTTTTTATAGTTATATGAGCCGTTTATTTTGAAAGTGGCATAAGTCACTTTACCGTAATGAAAAGTGGTAATTTTTTAATGTTTATACGAAATTATTTATACTGAGAAAAATATCAGTATCCTGAGATAACAAATACAAGTAAATCTTCTCGAAAGTTAGCATCCATATTTTTAAACGTGTTAAAACGCAAACCCTTAAGTATATTGACTTAGAAACAAAGTGACTTATACCACTTTCAAAATAAACGGCTCATATACCGGTTGTCAACAACTATGAAAACGAGTTGCATGGCTCGAATAATCGTAACATCTTTTCCCAAATTGACCATTTTTGTGCACAATCTGAGCATCAATTAGAGAGAATTTAGTGTACTTCGCTACTGTCCAATTCTCTTAATTCTTCTACCACGTCAAATAGCAGCTACTCATTTTTGTCTTAAATGCATAAAATCCGCAGTCTAGTCATAAGACATGCGGTTTTCCTGATTGATC